AACAGAGATGAGACATATCTCAACAGAGATGAGACATATATCTCAACAGAGATGAGACATATATCTCAACAGAGAAGAGACATATCTCAACAGACCGTTGAATTCGTGCGCATGCGCCATTTTATTCCCGAAGTACCACGTGGGTCTCATCTCGTCACGCTCTCAATCCCACGAAGTCACATTTGAAGACCCTCCTCTCCCACCTCAACACGAACTCCTTGCCGAGACGAGAGGGAGGCATCCCGATCCGGTGGAAGAAAGAGGAGATTGGAGCGATTGCAGTCACGAAAAGGAAGGCTGATATTCGCTCCGGGAATCCTTCCGCGCGCTGCAGAGTCGAGTTTGCGATTTTTCTTTCGAGTCTGGGCGACGTGGCCTCATGGACACGACCGCGGTAACTTTCTTGTCTTCGATACCAGGCTAGGAATTACCCTGGGTTTTGTTGGGATGGGTTTCCTCTTTCGTTTGACGCATCCAGGAATTAAAATGTACCTTCCCCAGCGTCGTCTGGGGAGAAAATAGTAAGTACCGTTCCAAAAGTACCGGGGACGCGTACCGATTGCAAATATGCGGTAACTCGCTGTGTTAGCTATTCGTCGCCATCTCACTTCGGGGTCAGGAAATCTTGTTTGTTCGAATGTCTCGTCAGATGTCTCGTCTCACATCCGTTGATGCAACCTGCACCAGACAATGTCCTCGCAATGTTTTTATTTTCAATATCGAGTCAACGTTGTCTCGATGCAGACAGCAACATTAATTCCATACTGAAGAGCCATTATATTTGCCTGTGAGCAATGCTGACATTTTATGTTGCTTTCGCGTGAGCCTGTCTCTTCTTCAAATAACGCCCTTTGATACGTGCCAAAGGCCTTTACCGTAAACGTCTATTATTGTTAAGCAACAAAAAAACAGACTTAACTTGAGCGACGAACTCAATTGGCTTTATAGTGCCTTTCAGAGCGAAGAATACTTTTTTTGGACGAAAAATGACCTTAGTGACCCAAAACAGCAGCGCCCTCTAGGCCTGCGTATCTTGCGGTATGTAAGAAAAATCTTGAACTCATGAACCCGAGTCCATGAACTCAGGTTCATTAAGTCACCATCAGGTTGCTATGAAGTCGCCACCATGGTGGTGACTTCATAGGAGAGGTGACTTAGCTTCATGGCAACAAGGGACACTTCTGTAGTGTCCCTTGTTAGTCCAGCCTCTTAAGGGTCAGCTAAAGGTCAACATTCTTAAAGGTCTGCTCTCCTTCGAGTCTAGAAATCTTCTCAACACCCGAGACAATTTCCTCCTTTCCGAACCATTTTTTTCTTCTTTCGTTTCCAATATTGGTCTGCTCAGCGATTGTACGTCTTCTTTCGTCTCACCAGATTCATTAATCATGATTAATTGGACATGGCTTTTATTCGGAACTGAATAATATGTCGACTGGATCTTTCCAGAGACTTGGTTAAATTACGTGCAAGATCCACGTTTCCAACGAACTTAATGTGTTGCAAACAAATTCACAGATGAAGGTAATTTCATTGTCGTTGACGTTAACGACAAGGCAATATTTTATCTCTTGAATACATGTAGAAACTCGTCTAAAATGTATGACAGAGAGTGTAACCAAATTTGATGAGCGGCAGAAATTTCCCTTGCACCGAGTGTCTAGCACTCTAAGAAACTAGCCGGCAATTTCAGTCGAGGCGACTAAGACGATGGTGAGGTTGAGATTTGATGAATGAATTAAATTGCTTCGCTATTCAATGGCGGAAATCTTTGATGCAATCAGGGTTTATTCTTTTTTCCACTTCGTTATGTGCAAAAATGTATGCGAAATACCTTAAAATAGATTGGATGCTAGCCGCCTGCGGCCGCTACGCTGGCCGTCTAATAGGTGGAAATTTGAACCGTCTATTATGAGCATAACGTCTCCTTGACAATCCTCTGTTCACCTCATTACCCATTCGGAACTGAACCGCTTCATTACATGTATTGGTATACACTTATAGCTTACAGTACACAGGGAGATTCTGTTCCTAAACACCATCACCATGATATTCCAGCTGATTGCTATAACACGTTCATTGTGAACGGTTTACCACGTTTTCATGAGACTCAGCACGACTTTGCTGATTTCGTCTCCCTAGCACATTCTCTTGCATCACCGATTAGCTCATTTGCTATTAGCGTTAGCATATAGTACAGACACCAATGATTCTGACACAGTACGGACCATTTCCAAGAACTTGTTCGAAGGCACAAAGGGAATTAAGTACATGTGCTGCACAATGCTAGCGACTAATACCAGAAAATGCCTCGCCATCTCATTACCCTGAGGCTCTGAAAGTGTTACTCACTGGTGCTAAAGTGTGAGTTGTAGCAGGAGAATTTTTCCGTTGTGAAACAAATGCCTCCTCCCTACATCAAAATGTACAGCCTGACAGTGCTCACTGCGACAAACAACTGTAATGATTGGGATGACATTGATAGGCATAACATCCCGAGTTCCATGGTGTAATGGTACAGTAGCCCACCTGACCGACAAGCAGGAGGACCGGTTCAATTCCCGACAGCCCCATGGCTTTCGCCACCTGAGTGCTGCGTTCCTTACATCATATTGCTCAGCAGACTGCAAGGCTTTCTTATTCCGGAGCTCAGCATTCGCTGCCTCTTGCTGTTCATCACTGATTCTAGCCATTACGACTAGCACCGATTTAGGCACTTCGCACCGCAACTGCAGTGGCAAACGTTGCTTTCCCGCCAAACCAAACGTTTTTTTTAACAGCAACGACTGCCTCATCGCCGTCCTGTGGGACGTCTTTCAACATTTCTTCTTCGTGTTCAACCTCACCTCGCAAAAAATTGCCACCATTTTTATGGGAGGTGCACCTCGTTTGCGCGACATATGAAGCAGAGCCTTTTAAGACTATTATTTTGAAAACAGAAAACTATTGCATGGAAGCGATGGCGCGAACCGCCACATCTGACCTGACGGAAAAAAATAAATACAGAAAAAAAACATCAGAAAGGAAAGTATTCAAATGAAGAACTTCCAGTCGATCAGTGAAAACGTGACAAGCATTGAGTCTTAGGCAAAGGGTGTTACTAAGTATGAAGCCAATTGAAATAATAGGATGAACAAAAGCCTATGGCTCAGGCTGACAGAGCCTGATGGACATAGCGCTAAGTGCGTTGGATGGCCAGGCCTTTGGCCTAGAATAGCATAGCCCCATGGACCTGGCGCTTTGGGCGGTGGCTGGTCTAGCCCATGACCAGAGATGGCATAGCCAAGACTATGCCTAAAATTATACATTCTTGTAGGCCTCGCGCGTTGCAGTGAGAGCCACCACCACAATTTCTTCCCAGCACATTCATTACTCTTGCATCACCGATTAGCTCATGGGTTATTAGCATTCGCGTATGGTACAGGTACCACTGATTCTGAAACAGTACCAGCCATTTCCAAGAACTTGTTCGGCTTTAACACAAAGGGAATATAGCGCATGTACAGCAGAGCACTAACGAATAGTTCCTGAAAATCCTCCCCTCCACATTAGCACCAGTGAACAACAGTGGGAGCGTTTAGTGTGAGTTGCAGCAGAAGCACTTTTCCGTTGTGGCAGTAATGTGAAACAAATGTCCCCTCCCTACAGCAAAATGTACAGCCTGACAGTGCTCGCTGCGCAAACGACTGTAGTGATTTGAGATGGCATGGAGAGGCATAACATCCCGAGTTCCGTGGTGTAATTGTAGTACACCTGACCGGCAAGCAAGAGGTCCGGGTTCAATTCCCGGCCGCTCCCCGGCTATCGACACCTGAGTGCTGCGTTCCTTGCATCAAGTTGTCCAGCAGGCTGCATGTCTCTCCTATATGTGAGCTCAGCATTCGCTGCCTCCTGCTGTTCAGCTTTACGCTCCCAACGTGCAACAGAGTACTGTTCATCAGTCATTCTAGCCATTATGGCTAGCAACTCCTAAAGCACCGATTTAGGCACTTCGCACCGCAACTGCAGTGGCAAACGTTGTTTCCGCGCCAGCATCAACCTTTTATTATATGCAGTCACTACCTCATCACCGTCCTGTGGGACCTTTTTTGCTTTTTTTTTCACGTTCACCCTCACCTCGCAAAAATCGCCACCATTTTGATGGGGGAGCGGCCCGTTTGCGCGACGTATGAAACAAACAATTTACATGATTATTTTGATTTCATCAATCATAACTCAAATGAATCGACCATGACATAAAACGCAAACAGAAAACTATTGCATGGATGCGATGTCCCGAACCGCCACGCCTGACCTAACGGAAAACAAATAAATACAGAAAAGAACAAATCAGCAAAGTATGTATTTATACGAAGAACTTGCAGTCGATCATTGAAAACAATGACACTCATTCAGTTATTACCACCCTACCACCCTTTGATTGACACTACTAAGTATGAAGCCTATGGCTCAGACTGATATAGCTCGATGGACCTGGCGCTAAAAACGTTGGATGGCCAAGCCTAGAATAGCATAGCCTCAAGGACCTGGCGCTTTGAGGGGTGGATGGCCTAGCCCATGGCCTGAAGTGACAGTGTTGTAGGCCTCGCGCGCTGGAGTGGCAACCACCACCACTACAACTCTCGGACTCTTCGAATCAAAGTATAAGATGGCCTGGAAAGGCGTAGCCTTGTAGGCCTGGCGCTTTAGGCCGTGGATGGCGTGGCCTATGATCCAGAAGGGGATTGCATCGTAGGCCTGTGCGTTGGGGGTGACAGCCACGGGCACCACCACCGCAACTTTTGACCTCTTCGAATTAAAGTATAGGATAAGTTGATCAATGACAGATATGGACCATGGAGTCTGATATGACTCTATTGGCGACTAATATAGTCGGAACCTTAATATTGCCCAAAACAATACAATTCTCATATCCAGCTGCACTACCGATTTTCCAAGGAGCGCACGTGCATATGAAAGGATTAATTTGCGGGGCGTATTTCTGTTCAGGCTTGTCACATTTTCATTTATTCATCCGGTGTGGTTTCAGGATGTCCTTGACGACTTCCACATGGACATTGCCCAGCTCTTACAGCTTCACACGCAAGACTTGGAATGGATCGAACTTGATGACATTCTTGAAGACTTGTGGGAAAAGAGGATACTCGATCGTGGGACACATGCAGATGATATCAAGAACAAAGGATCTTTCAAAGAAAAGGTGAATAAGTGCAAACAGAAATTGCTTTCATGTCTGAATGAAGGCTAAAATCCATACATTCTGATTGTCATTTGTTTGAAATCTGCACTCAGGTCTCCTACCTGCAAGAAACCCTCTCACCGAAGGGAGAGTATGGTGTTCATGCGTTCATTGAATCCTTACGGGAAAAGGGGCATAGAAGTTTGGCAGCCAGAATGACGATAGGTAAGCTGTTGATCTACGTATCATTAAAACATATGAGTTTTACTCATCAGCGCAATCACTGAGGGTTTTACACGTAGTTGGAATCATATAGTCAAGTATGGAAATTCACCTGATGGAATATCTGATCACGTGGTTTTCTGGGGATTATTTCAAGTGCAGTGTGAATGCGTTTAAAAGTCAGCCTATTTTTCTCCGAGCTACTCTGAAAGGCTTCCATATGTAACAGTGCCATAAAATTAGAATATTTATTCCAAGAAAAGTACTGTATATGATAAAGGAGATTAGGAATACCAATGATACAAGTGTGCGGAGGTGCAAGAACGATATAAATACCCATATGTATCTAAATTAGTGTAGTCATACTTTGCATAAGGTAATTTTGTACATCCTGTCTTTAAACCAATTACTCCAATTTTGATAGCGAGAGGTGATCGGCCAACTTCCCCGCGAGGTTTCGTCCAGGCAAAATGGGACTTCCTATTGGATCACTTGAGAGACGACAAACTGGCAATGCCTCTCCTTGAGGCTGGCATTCTGTCATTAGAAGATTTGGATGACATTAGAACACCTTTGAAGGAGCTGGAAAGAAATCGCATCTTGTTGATGAAATTACCGGGTAGAGTCAATAAAAACAACTTTGAGGATTTCCTCAGGGTTCTGGACATAGCTGGACTTGACACAGTCTCCAAGGAACTTCAGACTCAGTGTAAAAGGCGCCTTTCGAGCCGGAAGTACTATGCAACTTATTTTTAAAACCTATTTCAGGCGTTCATTCCTAATCCTTTCCTGTTCAATAGGGGAGGCGTCAACAGGAGTTCCTGAGAAGGCTCCAGGATCAAATGGAGCTAAACCTACAAGTTTGTAAGTCACAAATACCCCCCATCCTGTTCCTGTAATGTAAGAAAAATTCAATCATGCAGGGATGCGGAGGCCAGAAAAAAATCAGACTTTGGAGGTACATGCCCTGGGGGTACACGTTTTGGGGGGAGAAGTTACTTTAAATATATATTGTGACAGATGAGGATGGCATCGAGAAGTTCAACTTGACGACCAGGTTTCGATGTTGTAGTGGTAGGACACCTGACCTGCAAGCAGGAGACCCGGGTTCAATTCCCGGCCGTTCCATGGCTTTCTTTTGGCTTCTATCTATTCTAATTTTGAAATATGTCTCCTTAGCGTAGATTATAGGAGGGAAGTATTTTAAAATGTATTCTGCACTCTTACAAAAAGGGATACAAGAAAAATTTGAAGTTAGGCACACTAGAAATCATAGAAGTAATGATTTTGAGAAAAATTAAGACTTTCGTCCCCATATGTCACGTATTTCAATGGGGACATACTTTAAATACGCGTTTGCCATTTCTCATTGAATTAATCACAATCCAACGTAATGGAGCGCCGAAGGTGCGACTATAGCGAGTTTGTTTGCCTTAAGGGCAAAAAAATTCGCTAGTATATATATACAGAGTCCGCCAAAAAATGTATACACACTTCAGGAAAAGAAGAACTTATAAATATTTATATTTATAAATATTTTAATACTAAATTAATGCACACATCATGAGATTAATACAAGTTACCTTTGGCCTCTACAATTACAAGAGGTGCTCAAAGTGGTGGCCAATAGCTTCCAGACATTTATTAGTACGGCGAACTGCTGCTTGGGCAACCTTGGCCAAAGTGTCCAGTGGGATTGCTGCACATGCATTTTCCATTTCTTCTCTAAGGGCCGCCAGTGTAGTTGGTTTTTTATTTTGATTTCATCAATCATAACTCAAATGAATCGACCATGACATAAAACGCAAACAGAAAACTATTGCATGGATGCGATGTCCCGAACCGCCACGCCTGACCTAACGGAAAACAAATAAATACAAAAAGAACAAATCAGCAAAGTATGTATTTATACGAAGAACTTGCAGTGGATCATTGAAAACATGACACTCATTCAATTATTACCACCCTTTCATTGACACTGCTAAGTATGAAGCCTATGGCTCAGACTGATATAGCTCGATGGACCTGGCACTAAAAACGTTGGATGGCCAAGCCAATGGCATAGCCTCAAGGACCTGGCGCGTTGAGGTGTGGTTGGCCTAGCCCATGGCCTGAAGTGACATAGTGTTGTAGGCCTCGCGCGCTAGGGTAACAACCACCACCACAACTCTCTGACTCTTCGAATTAAAGTATAAGATGGCCTGGAAAGGCGTAGCCTTGAAGGCCTGGCGCTTTAGGCTCTGGATGGACCTGGCCTATGATCCAGAATGGGATTGCGTTGGGGGTGACAGCCACAACCACCACCACCGCAACTTTTGGCCTATTCGAATTAAAGTATTAGTTTAGTGGCCTCCGGCCGCTACGCTAGCTATCTATTAGGTGCAAATTTGAACCTTCTATTATGAGCATAACGTCTCCTTAACAATCCTCTGTTCATCTCATTTCACATTCAGAACTGAACCGCTTCATTACATGTATTCCTTTATAGCTTACTGTACACAGGGAGATTCGGTTCCTAAACACCATCATCACGATATTCCAGCTGATTGCCACAATCGTTCATTGTGAACGGTTTAGCACGTTTTCATGAGACTCAAGACGACTTTGCTGATTTCGTTTCCCTACCACATTCAATCATCTTGCATCACCGATTAGACCATGTGCCATTAGCTTTAGCATATAGTACAGACACCAATGATTATGAAAAAGTACGGACCATTTCCAAGAACTTGTTCGTAGGCACAAAGTGAATTAAGTACATGCGCGGCACAATGCTAGCGACCAATTCCAGGAAATGCCTCGCCACCACATTACCCTGAGGCTCGGAAAGTTTTGCTCACTGGTGCTAAAGTGTGAGTTGCAGCAGGAGCATTTCTCCGTTGTGAAACAAATGGCTCCACCCTACATCCAAATGTACAGCCTGACAGTGCTCGCTGCGACAAACAACTGTAAGGATTTGAGATGACATGGAGAGGCCTGACAACATGTCCCGAATTCCGTGGTGTCCTGGTAGCACACCTGACCAGCAAGCAGGTGGACCGGGTTCAATTCCCGGCCGCCCCCCGGCTTTCGACACCTGAGTGCTGCGTTCCTTGCATCAAGTTGCTCAGCAGGCTACACGGTCCTCTTATTCCGGAGCTCAGCATTCGCTGCCTCTTGCTGTTCAGCGGTCTCTGCGGCCCTACGCACATCTGCTTGCTGTTCATCACTGATTCTAGCCATTACGGCTAGCACCGATTTAGGCACTTCGCACCGCAACTGCAGTGGCAAACGTTGTTTCCGTGCCGGCACCAACCGTTTTTTACCAGCAACAACTGCCTCATCGCTGTCATGTGTGCCCTTCAACATTTCTTCTTCGCGTTCAATCTCACCTCACAAAAATTGCCACTAGTTTGATGGGAGGTGCACCTGGTTTGCGCGAAACATGCAGTAGAGCCTATTTTTTACTATTATTTTGACTTCAATCATGAAAATTCAAATAAATCGGCCATGACATGAAACGCAAAAAAGAAAACTATTGCATGGAAGCGATGGCGCGAACCGCCACATCTGACCTACCGGGAAAAAAAAAATATATAAAAAACACCTTAGCACAGAATGTATTCAAATGAACTTGCTGTCTATTAGTGAAAACGTAACACGCATTCAGTTAGTAGCACCCTTTGCTTGACACAGCTAAGTATGAAGCCTATGGAAATAATACGAAGAGCCAAAGCCTATGGCTCACACTGATATAGCCCGATGGACCTAGCGCTAAGTGCGTTGGATGGCCAAGTCTTTGGCCTAGAATAGCATGGCCCCACGGCCCTGGCGCTTTGAGGGATGGATGGCATAGCCTAATTGATCTAGCGCTTTGAGCAGTGAATGGTCCAACGTATGGCCTAGTCTCGTCGGCCTCGCACGTTGCGGTGATAGGCACCACCACAACTTCTTCCCAGCACATTTAATACTCTTGCATCATCGATTAACTCATGGGTTATTAGGATTAGCTTATGGTACAGGTACCACTGATTCTGAAACAGTACGGGCCATTTCCATGAACTTCTTCGACTTTAGCACAGAGGAAATTTCGCGCATGTGCAGCAAAATACTAACGAATAATTCTTCGCCTCGACATTAGCACCAGTGAACAACAATGTGAGCGTTAAGTTTGAGTTGCAGCAGAAGCACTTTTCCGTCGTGGATGCAATGTGAAACAAATGTTCCCTCCCTACAGCAAAATGTACAGCCTGACAGTGCTCGCTGCGCAAACGACTGTAGTGATTTGAGATGACATGGAGTGTCCTGACAAACTGTCCCGAGTTCCGATATAAAATGACCGGGAAAGACGTAACCTTGTAGGCCAGGCGCTTTAGGCCGTGGATGGCCTGGCCTATGATCCAGAATGTGATTGCATCGTAGGCCTGCGCGTTGGGGGTGACAGCCATGACCACCACCACCGCCGCAACTCTTTAGCCTCTTCGAATTAAGGTATTTGATGATGTTAAAGAATGAAGAAACGTTTCAAGATTCATTTCGATATGCCCGATGAAAGCAATTACTCAGGCTATTGGATATTATTCAAATAGCGAAATTGGAACATCACACGATGCACGGCCCGGCGCTCCCTTTTCCAGACAAGGAAACACAAAGACGAAAGGGGAGATTAGATCAGCGGATCAGATCCATGCATTAAAAGCACGGTTATACGGCGAGGAGATGATGTAGATGTTCCCCGTCCCTGGCCTTNTGGGAGGTGCACCTGGTTTGCGCGAAACATGCAGTAGAGCCTATTTTTTACTATTATTTTGACTTCAATCATGAAAATTCAAATAAATCGGCCATGACATGAAACGCAAAAAAGAAAACTATTGCATGGAAGCGATGGCGCGAACCGCCACATCTGACCTACCGGGAAAAAAAAAATATATAAAAAACACCTTAGCACAGAATGTATTCAAATGAACTTGCTGTCTATTAGTGAAAACGTAACACGCATTCAGTTAGTAGCACCCTTTGCTTGACACAGCTAAGTATGAAGCCTATGGAAATAATACGAAGAGCCAAAGCCTATGGCTCACACTGATATAGCCCGATGGACCTAGCGCTAAGTGCGTTGGATGGCCAAGTCTTTGGCCTAGAATAGCATGGCCCCACGGCCCTGGCGCTTTGAGGGATGGATGGCATAGCCTAATTGATCTAGCGCTTTGAGCAGTGAATGGTCCAACGTATGGCCTAGTCTCGACGGCCTCGCACGTTGCGGTGATAGGCACCACCACAACTTCTTCCCAGCACATTTAATACTCTTGCATCATCGATTAACTCATGGGTTATTAGGATTAGCTTATGGTACAGGTACCACTGATTCTGAAACAGTACGGGCCATTTCCATGAACTTCTTCGACTTTAGCACAGAGGAAATTTCGCGCATGTGCAGCAAAATACTAACGAATAATTCTTCGCCTCGACATTAGCACCAGTGAACAACAATGAGAGCGTTAATTTTGAGTTGCAGCAGAAGCACTTTTCCGTCGTGGATGCAATGTGAAATAAATGTCCCCTCCCTACAGCAAAATGTACAGTCTGACAGTGCTCGCTGCGCAAACGACTGTAGTGATTTGAGATGACATGGAGTGTCCTGACAAAATGTCCCGAGTTCCGATATAAAATGACCGGGAAAGACGTAACCTTGTAGGCCTGGCGCTTTAGGCCGTGGATGGCCTGGCCTATGATCCAGAATGTGATTGCATCGTAGGCCTGCGCGTTGGGGGTGACAGCCATGACCGCTACCACTGCCGCAACTTTTGGCCTCTTCGAATTAAGGTATTAGATGATGTTAAAAAATGAAGAAACGTTTCAAGATTCATTTCGATATGCCCGAGGAAAGCAATTACTCAGGCTATTGGATATTATTCAAATGGCGAAATTGGAACATCACACGATGCACGGCCCGCCGCTCCCTTTTCCAGACAAGGAAACACAAAGACGAAAGGGGAGATTAGATCAGCGGATCAGATCCATGCATTAAAAGCACGGTTATACGGCGAGGAGATGATGTAGATGTTCCCCGTCCCTGGCCTTTCAGTCCTCCAGCCGCGTGCCTCCCGGAATCTCGGCCAGCGGCTCCAGTCCTCGAAGGCATCCGCCTCGTCCGTCCTAGTAGCAGGTGCCTCGTGGAGCTGGAAGTCCTGGTACGTGGAACGTTTCCTTTGGCTGTTTCACTATGAGGAGGCGCGTTTCTCCCTCTTTCGCATGCGTACCCAGTTGCGGACCATGCTTCGATCAGAATTTTTTCCCAATTCGCGTCAGAAATATGTCCCTTCCCAGTTCCGTAAAAAAACCCTTCTAGCCTTCTCTTCAGGGAAGAGAAGGCTAGAAGAAAGCTTTTGAAGGATGAAAAAAAGTATTTGCCCAAGTCGCTTAAAAATTCCTAATGTAAGTCTAACGACGAAAAATGGGCGACCCCCTTTGATGAGTGTTGGCCTGCACGACCGAGTACGCATGGTTAGTATAGTCCCGCTTACAAGGTGATCGGATACATATTCTAAAAAGCGGCTCAGGAATCGCCGAGATATTGAAGAATACTCGGTTCGCCTGACCATTCCTGAATGTGGATACGTTCTTTTTAGTTTACAAAGAAAACTGGCTACATATATCTCTCGAAGAAGAAGAACATTAACTTCGAAGAGAAAGACTTGACCCATATATGTAGATGAATGAAACTCCGCCCTCATCTAATTGGACGTGGACATCATCGCACTAGGGACTTCAAGTGGCGACCAAGTGAAATCATTGAACAAATTTGAATCCAGTCTCGATCCTCAAGGCCGTTCCCCGCACCAACGTCTCTATATGACAAAGCTGAGCATTTCCTGGTTACTTTTCCTCCCCACCAGTGGATAGGAAAAGTGCATTCGGCAGTTGAAATTTGCCAGGAAAGAACTTAGTCGTTGCCGAAACTCAGCCAATCGGAGAGAAACGAGCAAGAAGGGAAAGGACACGACAGAGCGCAGCAGATACCGCAAGCCTCTTGAACTTTTCGGGTCTCAACGATTTCATCCATCATCGATTCAAGGTTGCAGATTCCCATCGTGATGGCGAAAGGCTGTGCTCCTTTTCTCTTCCCTCCTAGGAATCGTCTGTCCAAAAGCAAAATTTCTGGGACGAATGTCACTCCACCGCCTAAATGCTTCCTGCGATACTAATTTCCTTATTTATTAATGTCCCATGAAGTGTGAATAGGAAAAGGAGCCGATATGTAATCTCCGACACGATCGTATCGCTTTTTTCTGCCACTGCATGATGTCTCCCTCAAGGACTGGGACATGTATGTATACACATGCTTTCTTGCATCAGGAATATCTAGTTATTCTTTCAAGGTGGGGATCAAAATGCAGACCTGGCACCTGGCTTTTCTCATCGCGTGCAACGAAATGCTTTCAGAAGGGAGCAAAGAGGAAATCCGACTCCGAAAGGCCCTCTTCACCGACTACCCGATGGTGCGACCCATCGACGACCCCAACCTGCCTCTCGTGGTCGGCGTCCGGCTCGGCCTCTTCCAGATCATAGAACTGGTCGGTTCTCCTCGTTTCATCGCCGTCCGATGGGAGCAGTCGAGATTTTAATTGTGGCGATGTGGAAACAGGACGAGAGGAACCAGGCGCTGAGCACCCGTGTGGAGGTCATCGAACGGTGGAATGACACGTACATCAACTGGAACCCGGAGGAATTTGGGGGGATCCGGCAGATTATAGTCCCTATTAACAACATTTGGATTCCGGACATCATCCTCTACAACAGGTAAATGTTGCTTGCTGCAGAACCAGCTTCATACGAATTCTTGGCCGCGTATTTTCCAAGGGGCATTTGGCGCTATCACGTTGTCGTACCACGTGCACTCAGTTGCATTACATATTTCGCAGATTGTATCGGCTCAATCGCTTATCGAAGCAAGTCGTCCCACACCACTCTCAGGCCTTATATAACTTTGTGCCCGCTAAATGCATGCCATTCGATTCCGTACAGACCCCAGTACCTTGCATGCGCCTCCTTCGCCTTCGACGTTGCCGCAACAGAGCCATCTCGCGGCAATCCCATAATTGACCACTGATTCCCTTCCAGCGTGTCGACGAACTACCGTGAACGGCAGCTGCGGACGAACGCGATCGTGAGCCACAAGGGCGAGGTGACACTCCTCACGGCAGCTGTCTTCTGCTCCTTCTGCAACGTTGACGTCAAGTACTTCCCGTTCGACGTCCAGACCTGCAAGATGAGGTTCATGACCTTGACCTATGACCACACACAGGTGAGACCACGATATCGAAACCTCAATATCGAAAACGTTCTGCACTTATTCCATTCATACCATCCGCTTGCCAGGTCTCTATTGGCTGATTCGTTCGTGTCATTATCTGCTCACTTTTTCTTCTGGACATATTTTCGCATTAATATGTTGACAGTTTCATGTCGGGCTTAAGAACTAGAACATTTCGGACCAAAAAACCCTCTGTTCCAGATTCGGCTGCAGACGGACCACGACCCAAGTATCGACCTGCTCTCGTACGCGGAGAACGACGAGTTCCGCCTCACCTCCTACAAAGCGGAAGAGAGGATCGATCCAGACCCCTGCTGCGACGAAGATTTCTCGGTCGTTCTGTACTCCATCCGGATCCAGCGTCGGCCAGGGTTCTTCTTCCTCAATTACATTCTCCCCATGATGATCATCAATGTCATGGGTAGCTCATTGCTATGCACTACTGTGAGGCTGGGTAGGGTTTCGCGAGTAGGTTCGGTTGGGTACGGTTCGGTACCGGTAGGGTGCGGTTTCGCGACGTAACGTAGCACAAGAATCGCATATTTTACTCTCTTTGCGTTATTCGTTAGCGTTTATGGCGATATTAAAATGAACAATTCTCATATATGCAGAAGGCCTGCAAATAACGCCGGATCATGATTAAAAATTATTTTTTTTTTCACCGAATTTAAAAGATAGTCAATTGTATGCACCCAGACATCCACACGTAACAAAGCTAAAACTGACAACGTAAAGGCCCTTTCACCACATAAAATATATATTTTCCGTCATGATCGCTGCTATTTTGTATGCAATTACTTCAGCAGAGACAGGCCTGAATGTAACCTTCGTATGTAACCCTTCAAAAACCTTTTCCAGCGCTTCGATAGCCGATCGCTTAAAGTTTCTTCCAGTGGCATAGAGAGGGAAAGGGACAAGGGGGCTTCAGTCTATCCTGGTTTGGTTCCCTCCTCCAAAATACCACGTAATTATTGAACATTTTAGTAAGGGGGGGAGTGGGAAGGGGCTTTAGGAATTCCAGCCCACCTCCCCCTATCCTTTACCGCAGGACACCCCTTTGAGGAAATCATCGATGCATCACTCCATACTCGCCTATTCTATTTTCGAGATAATGCACGTGCACGGGGTTAACAGAGAGAATAGAGTCATTACACCGAATTGCATTTTCACTCTTTGGGGCGGATGTAAGTGTATGCGTAGCTCCCTACCATACGATGGAAAGTAAGGCCGAGTCCTTTCTACAGTCTCTTATGCTCGTAATAGGGTGTCCCCACGATGGTGCGACTGCGTGCAAGGGCTTGGACAGTATGAAGGCCAGCATGATGGTTTGGCATGATATAATTTCGTGAAAGACGCATTTTCTCGTTTCCTTCGAAGCAACAAGAGCCAACAATGCTCCAGATTGGATTGCCATTTCTCCGGGCTCTCACTATGGAGACCACCGATAGATGTCTCTGAAGAGACCAACTTTAATCGTTTCGTGCATTCATCCACACTAGTGTATTTTAGGAGTTTCATGATTCATGTTTGACACTTAAAAGTAGGCTATTGCGATGAAGCTCGGAGAGCTAAAGACCTCCCTTCACGTGATTCCAGCCCTGCTGTCCTTCCTGATGCCCTGCGAGAGCGGGGAGAAGGTGACGCTGGGGATCTCCGCCATGCTCAACATGGTCATCATCCTCATGGGCCTCCGGGACGTCCTCCCGCCCACAGAGAACACGCCACTCATCGGTATGCCGACCAGTTGAAATCCTGCGACGCTTTCCTTGCGGCATCTCGAGACAAAGGGAAATGGGACTCATATCTCTCAAATCCGGAAGATCCGGGCGTTAAAATCATTATTCAACGTTATAGAAAAGCCAGATAGCTCGGAACACTTATGGTGGATTGGAAGTTTCCTGCATTATTTCCACAAAATTTGACAGCTACATCTAAATAAATGCTCGCGTTCTCCTTATTAATGAAAGTTTTCATTCGAAGACCTTTACGAGATGGTAACTTCCAGACCGAAACCGAGAAGATATCCACTGTTGCTAACTCGCACCGATGTTTAAGTATAGTTACGAAATAAGAAGCAGCAAGCTCTGTCACCTCAATAAATTTCCTCCGAGATTTTATAGAAGAGCTTCCTCTACTGTTGACTTATCTAATGCCAACGTCAGTTTGAAGAAGTTTCCCGGCGAGTTTGCCGCAACTTATTTAGTCCCCAAAATGCATGGAAATATGGGAAATCGACTCGGTTCTTGAAGAATGCACATTAGCTCCTTTAATGGGACGGAACGCGGCATTATTCTTTCATGATATTATATAATCATGTCCGTGCATGCACTGGAAATGCGTCGAGGCATAATTCAACACGATGCTCCAGTATGAAGGACCGAAGTTTTTCCGATTTTTTCAGTCTCCCTCGGGTAGCTTGTTACAAGAGCTCGACCTATCTAAAGATGGGTGAAGTTCCAGTGAATCCAACACGTTTCCATGAGCGTTCAATGTCAATCAAGTTGATCCCTGGCACAACCAAAGTAACGACTTACATGCAATCGTTGATACTGACGACCGCATTGAACCCTGCAGGGAAATTCTACTGCGCCTGCGTCTTCCTGGTGGCGGTGGAGGTGATGCTCAACATCTTCACCTTGTACCTTTACCACCTGAGAGGAGTCCGGCCGCTCCCGCAGGCCATGCAGACCCTGTGCCGAGTACTGGCCAGGTTGACCTGCATGACCGAACCCCGCTTCAGCCCCGTCTGTTTCCCCCTTCATCTGTTTTTCTCTCAGCATGACTTCTCCTTGCAAGACGTCATGCTTACGCCATGCTCATCGTTCTGCAATCTGCCCTGATACAGGCCAAGGGAAGAACGGATGGGGGCGAGATGCACAAGATGGTATCGCGACGCCCGTCCGCGAAGAGTGCTACTGAAGAATCTATTCGGATGGAGCCTGTCTCAGGTATGTCCTCAAGGATCTACTGTGTCAACGCACCAAATGTGGGCGTAAAAACATCATAATTTGAGTAAAAATGAGTTGAAGAAATGGAGTTAATGAAGTGGATTATGTGAAATGTGCAAAGTAGATATTCACCATCGTATTTCGAGCTGCGCGTTTCGGTCAGAGTGGGTCACCCGTACGCTCGTGGCGCACGCCTACGAGTAGAGAAAGATGCTGACAAAAGATGAATACGTTTTGCGAAAGGCTTACAAGCGCAGATGCGAAGTTAAGTACGTGGCACCCAATGATTTCTGGAAACTTCGATAAACTTGCAGAGATTGACGCGAAATTGAGCAGGCTCCTGTCCCTCTTGGAATCCCGGGAGAAGCGGGAAATGGAAAGGGAGTCGAAGCATGGGAAAGCGGGAGAAGGGGAAGGAGGAGACGGGAACGAACTCGAGAACTGGCGGACGGTGTCGCGGATCCTGGATCGATTCTTCCTCAATCTCTTCTTCTTCCTCAACGTCGGCTTCTCCGCAGGCATCCTCCTCTCCTCTCCTGGGGACTGAAAGCCCGACCGGATCCGGCCAATCGACGGAAGTGGGATGCAGTGGACCGTGCACCGATGGTTAAATGCCGTCTCAGGAAAAATCATGAGAATCGTTTACCTCTCTCCTTTATGGTTACGATGAAATGAAACCGCGGTGAAGAAAGAAAAATCTCAACTCCCTACCTCTTTTGTCGGGCGATTAATTTGTATAGTATTGCCCCGAATGGGTATCCATTGTAATAAATTTAACACACAGACCACAGACATTTTGTTATAACAATGCCTGCCTCCATGCAGAACCAAGAAATACGATTTTGATTGCCGGATCTCCTTTGAGCATTCCCAACGCCAGACGATTTTGACAGCTGAGAGTGCCTGCAGAAGGAACTACGTGAGAAGTGAGCTCTGGAATTAATATTTTCGTTATTTCCATTGAAACCCATCTGTTCGAAGAAGACCGTCATTGAGAACCTAATCATGCGCTCCGCTTACTTGCATTTGAAACCCCTCAAAATTGTCAGATAATCTCCTCCGGGCAGAAATGATTGCATGTCGAAAAGGTTGAATGATTCTGCTGAATGTATTTCAGTGAATATAGTGCAGTACCGTTTCCAATAATGAACACTCGCATCTGGAAGCGTTTGGCCTGCGGATATGTCACCCACACGCAAACACACGACGCATCGCATTGCACCCTCCTGGAAAGAGTTGCACCAGGAAACCGGGTTCAAGACGGCGTCCAGCCGTGTAGAGGGGAATGCCGTTAGGGAGTTCCTTGGGATGTTCGCCACGGAACGGGAAAATCCATGGTGATGGCGCTGAGTATTCTCCTCTTCTGCTAGGTTTTGGAGGGGAGTTGATCGACCTTTACGATGGACTGCATCGGCTTCTACGCTGGCCTTGTGGTGACAAATTTATTTTCCAGCTTAACGATTCTGAAAAAATTCAGTGGTATTTTAACTGGTATTTTACCCTTCTTCTCGTGGAATACCTTTGGGCAAGGGGGAAGGAACCTCGGAAGACCTACTGCAAGTGAACGTCATATCGACCGCATTCGCACTGGCTTTTTCCTTTATTCTATAGTGGTCTGGAGTGGTATAGATTGATATATATTGTGGGATGAATGTATCTAAAATGAGGTTCTAGGATAGTATCTATGATGTTAATTACTCAATGAGTAAGTTAGTTGCTACTGGAAACATGATTTTGCCAGTTGATAGTAAAGTTCCTTCATTTCTATACATCAATGAAATTTGCCTTCAAATTATTTCTTGCTTTTACATGTGTAAACTACTCGCACCTAATCTCATGGACTTGGCACAAAAACGTAAGAAAAGTTTTAAAAATGAGGTAACAGAAGGCACAGACACTGACTGAATGGGTTGTTATACAGGGTGGTCCAGGTCAAGTGTAACAAACAAAACTGAAAATTTATTATAAACAGCATGTTTCATCGATTCGAAATTTGCACAACATGTTCCTGCCATAATGTACCAGACAAGACATAATTTTCACTCAAAGTGGCCACCTTTGGCCTTCATTATGCCTTCATCTCGAAGTTGCTGACGCTGATCCTCACCAGTTTCTTAGGAATTTCGCCTCAAATACAGGGTTGTGCAAAAGTTCCCGTACACTTTGAAAATCTAATTTGTTTCATTAATCAACAGATTTTTGGCGATTCTGATTTTTTTTTTATTCAACGGACTTTTTTATATGAAATGTTTTTATAATAGTCAATTTCAGTCATTACTTGAATTTTTTTTCTCTGGGGCTACGACGCCTAAAGAGAATCGTAGCGCTATCATCGCGCTGCAGAAGCAAGGGAAGAAAGCTGGAGCGATCGCCGGATCTGAACCCGTTGGATTATTCGGTCTGGTCGATCTCGGAGCAAAAAGGTCTCGGGAATTCGTTTCCGCAACACCGCGGCGCTGAAGGCGGCTCTGCGACGCGCTTGGAATGAAATCAACGTCGAACAGCTGGCAACCGTCATTCGCAACTTTCCAAAGAGACTCCGAGCGTGCATCAAAAGGAACGGCGCCGATTTTTACCACATGATTTGAATTTGAATCATTTATCTTTTTTCATGTTGTTCTTTGTACCTAATTATTCAAATAACAGGCCGAGGTTAAGGTTTTATCAAAACTTTAAATTTATAACTAAAAAAAGAAGTGTAAGAGAAAGAGAAGAAAGTTGACGAGAATTTTTGCACAACCCTGTACAAACCAAATCTTGTCTGAGATGATTCAGACCGTGGTGGGACTTGGAGCAGGTCTAAGACGAAGATCGGCCACATGGCGTAGTCAAGAGGCTTCAGATCTGCAGACAACGAGACTACTCATCCATGGTGAAGAACCCTGGTAAATTCTTACGACACTAGTCATGGGTCAAATTATCCTTGAGTGACGTTGCTCCGTCCTGCTGGAAAGTCCAAGGCTCATCCCCGAAGAGACCTTGAGCTCATGGGGGCAGGGCTTCCTGCAGAATGGGTTTCATGTAGACGTTGATTTTGATGCCCTCGGGAACGAAGACGTGGGGGACTTGCCCCTGTTGGTGATGGCGGCCCACACCATAACTGAGGCCGGCTTCTGGTGTGGAACGTCATTCCAGAAAATGCGGAAAAGCGTATATGCGCAGACCTGCGAGAGTTCCTTCGTCTCCCCTTAGGACAAATATGTCATCAGAGACCCGAAGTTCTCAAGCTTAGAGACCTAAACGGGCTGCAGGTCGGCCATGCCAGCACAACACGATCGGAGCAGCACAACTCAGTCGACGATCGCATTCCGGGCCGGGTGCGGACCACGATTCGAATCGGATCGAGTTTCAACTCGGAAAGTCAACCAGTGCAGACCACTGGCGCCCAGAAAGACAAGAGAACCCGTAGAAACCACGTTCGCAGAGTACTTTATGGACTTTTGACCCAATGAGTATCGCCTGCAGGTCACAAGCTTTCGATTCACACCTCAATTATTTAAATCCGTTGATCCGTCTAGGAAGAGTTTCCCGGAATGACAAAATGACTCCAATGTATGTGGATGGATAGGAAACCCATTAATCAGTTTCCATTGATTTTCCTTCTGAACACTGTCAAAATAAAACCGTAAGTCAATGTTACTAAGCCACCAAGGTCGGCGTTGTTGGCAACGCGGTTCGTCTAACGGCGCCATACCGATCCCAATCGCCTCCCACCCAATTCGCCCCCGTCCTTCCCAGCCAGGAGGATGAAATCCTGCAGACACTGAGCAGGCAAACTTAATATCATCCTCGTGTTGTTACTCTCACTACGAGACGTCGCCTCCGTCGATTTGATCCCTTATTTCGGCGTGCATCCAGGAAAGAGATACGAGAATGTCACATTGGAATCTCAGGAGCCGACCGTTCGAACGTGCACCATAATGTGCGTGATGCAGATACCGAGTCCATGCTACGCCTTCAACTATCGGGAGACCGATCGTTCCTGCCAGTTGATTCTCAACGGGATGAGCAGGCTCGTGGAAGCCAAGGGATTCCAATCCTACGTCCAGAGTGAGTCGAAATCTCCGAAATTTCGTATCAGCAGATTTGTAGACGTCATGACGTGGCGACCCCTTCCACATACAGTGCTTTGTCTGAGAGAGCATCCCCCGATCGAGAATGCGGTGGTGTCCTTCGTAGGATGGAGCGGCGAGTATCCAGCGCCAGCAAGAGCCATCGTCACGTTCCGGTGTGATCATCCGAAAGGGTTCTCGGATGGAGCTCGTATCCACAAGGCTGAATGCGCCACCTTTAATCCGGATTCTTGGCACATCTCCTTCAAGCCGGGTGAAGTGCAGTGTGAGGACATTCACCTTTTTTATGAGCCCTTTTTTTTTTACAAACCTCATGTCATCCATTCCATTGCATTCTCCACGAGATTTGAGGAGAAACAGGTCGGATACCCTCCTAGAAAAGAGTGAGCGATATCCGAGAAAGGGAGCGAAACTGGAGTTAGCGGTTTTACTCCCTAAAAACAAGGAAGTGCAGCCGCTCACCTGTCTTCCTTCTCTTTCCTGAGAACAGCCACTAACGTTTTCTACTAGTTTGAGAAGTCCTTTCCCTCCTTCGTTTCGCGCTCTTAAAAAAGATATGGATTTTGCTCTCACGAAGGAGTAGTTATCGATTGCACGTCCTCGTTTTTAGGGAGTAAAATCGCTAACTCCAGTTTCGCCCCCTTTCTCGGAAATCGTTCACTTTTTTCGAAGAGTGTAGTGAGCAAATGCTACGCATGCGATCCTACCGCACATGAGCAGGAATTATTATGTGGGCATATACAGAGTGATGTTAGAAAATGTTACCCCTAACTGGGAATAAGAAAAACCAATCTGGAGGTTATAGCGCACTCTATTACCAAGCTTAAAATGCGGAACTCGGTTTAACGTACATCTAAAAGGGGAATGTAACCATAAATACAAAAACTGTAGTTAAATTTTGAATTTGAATTTGCAGTAACCAAAACGATACTTCCCAATTACAGTGGTTAAATTTGTATATAATGAATCTGTCGCATTCGTGAGAGGACATATGCGATAGATTGATCCAAATTAAAAACGAGGGAGAAGACGTCGTAGTTTCCAACAGGAGTAGCAGTGATGTTACATCCCATCGCAATGTCCTGTTGTTACAGAAACCATGGAATTTGTACATCATGACAGGGTTGGTGCCTCTAACCCTTTCCACTTGTTTCACGAGCCTTGCTCGCCAGCGGTCGTAGCGTTGCGGAAAAAAAAACCCCGAGTAGAATGGTTTGAATTATTCGATGCGGAGGAATCAGTATAAGAACTTTCCACACTATTCACAATTTAGGTGCTACACCGTTCATAAGCACACACTCGCAGAAGATGAAGTGCAATTCCCTGTGAGAGTCTTTTTTTTCATATGGATTGTATTTGAGCCTTCGGTAAGCCATCGACTTACACCAACCCTTTCAGCAAAAGTTACTATGTAAAACCAAAAATGGTCTCAATCATACTTTTATATTACAACGTGCACCGTTGGATAGTGAAATATTAGTAACTAAGCTTGGAGAGTCTAATTGAAAATAATAATCAGGGAATGAAATTTCCCCTATAATATGGTCGCCAAGAACGAAGAACTGTTTCGAACCAAAATGTGGGATAAGATGCGATGACATTTCAAATGTGCACAGTACTCCCGCAGAAAATCCATTCTCATTTTGTTGGTACTTTTCATTGTTATGGTAAATTTTGTTATTGTCAGGTGAAAAAGTGCATACATATCCAGAATGTCGACGGACAGAAAAGGGCAGGGAAAACGTCGGAAGAGTGAGTGTGACGGAATCGGGACGGAATTGCCTCGACTGGAGAGACTACCCCTACGGACGACCGGATGACTTCGCGGTTGATGTCACGCTCGATTACGAGGTTGAAGTTGGACGCCACGGCACCTATGAGACCTATTCTGAACTTCCTGGATTACCTGCAAGGGACGTATACTACGAGGTCAACTTTCTTAATATGGACTCCTGGTCTCACCACAACTACTGCCGAAATCCCTCTGAAAGAGAAAGACTCTGGTGCTTCGTGTCCGACCCTAAAATTCAATGGGAATACTGCGACATACCAATGTGCACGGACACAGGTAAAATATTTCACTGAGTTTCACTGATTGGAATGAATGGAGCATTTCGACGAAGGGACATGTGTTTCCGAATGAATAACCAACGAGGAATACGTGATCCCTATACAATTATTGCTACATTCGAAATGGAAGCTTTGAAAGAAATTTCAGATATCCGAATGCCAAGAAGACATGCATTCAATTTCGGTTCAATTTTCTTTTTCCAATTCATTATTTTGGAAGGAAACATAGTCAAGATTGTTAAATATTTGGTCATATCCGATGGAAGAAAATTGAGGAGATATGGCTATGACAGTTCTAACTGTTGCGAATACGACCTCTTCATTCTTGGAATTCGGGGGAATGGAAGATGGATGGATTCTGAATCATGAAGCCTGGAACAACGAACTCCCAATTGCTTTAAAGTTTTATCTTCTGCTTTCCTTTCACTTATTCCTACATAGCTAATGTCCATTAATGACCGATTGATGGGTGTGACAGGGTCACTATTTATCATGTTTCGCATGTTTCTAATACCAACTCACTGCAGTTTTGAGGAATAGGTTTCTGTTGAAACGACATTTCCCACTTTTTGCCACCAGTCCCTCCAGAGTGCAAAGTGACTCAACAGGGCGGCGAATACATGGGAAGAAAGGATTTCACGATCGCAGGCTTCCAATGCCTGCCATGGAGAAATCGCGAAGTCGTTGAAATTTTCCTCCTGGCATTCCCGGATCCCGATCGCGTCGACGGGCATCACAACTTCTGTAGAAATCCGAATATGCAAATGACCCTCTGGAACTATTATGAATCCAACGTGGCTCATTGGTGTTTCCTAGAATCGGGAAAGGATTCTTCATGGGGTTTCTGCGACATCCCATTCTGCGATCTGCGAGCTCAAGAAGACGAACTTCGGTCGGGGGTGTATCCGGAATGCCGACTGTCAGAGAAGGGGAAGGAATATTTTGGGAGCCAGAATAATACAGAAACTGGAAAGCCTTGTCTACCATGGAATTCTCAACCATACGGAACCCCTTGGGATTTTTTCCCGAGAGGGATAGATTATTATTTGTATTTGAAATGGGAATTAGGTTCCTTGGAACTCCGACCATAACCAAAACTGCCGAAACCCAGGGCTGTACAGGGAGCGACCATGGCGTTTCCTCTCCGACCCCAAGACCATGTGGGAGTACTGTGACATCCCCTTCTGCCGTGACCGAAGTGAGTCCATTCTCGTCTCTCTTTCTATGAGAATAACACACAGAAATTCCAGTCGTTTTCTGTAGTGTTCACTTTCTTGTAGGGGATGTAAGGTTATGACATTGAAGGTCACGTCATTACAGGTATTTTAGACCACATTAGTCTGAAAGGTAGGTAGACCGAAATGGTGTAGGGATCCTGGGGATTAAGATAAGCAGATGCATCGGGGTATATGGTCTTTCTTTGTGAAGAACAGTTATGACTTTGGCCCAAGGAATCACTGATGGATTGGATAAGTTTTTTTTGATGAAGAAGAGGTAGACCCAAAATCCACGCGATAATCCATGAGGGATGGACCATCAATTCCAAAATGGGAAGACCGGAGAGCTTGTCATAACAACTGGTTCCGGTCTCTTTTTGAACCTTAATAGTTTGGTAACAGATTGACAACGTTCCACAACTTATCTAGTCAGAGTTTGCTTAATCCATCCCCAGGCAATACATAGAAAACAACTTCAAGACTGGTATACGCCATAAAGTGATAGGGAGAACATCTCACCATGGCATGAAGGTCGAAGGACACGTGGAGGTCGAACGAGAAATGAAACCATTCGCTTGGGATAGAGACAGGTGAATGGGGATTGGAAAGAAATGGCCTCCACGATTCCACGTGCATCAGCAACTACCTAGTACGAGTGTGCGTATCACATTTCGACTCATCCTCTTCCATTCTTAGATCCTCCAGAATGCAAACTGAGCAAGAGGGGAATGGAGTAAATGGGGAAGCGGAACGTGACACTATCGGGATTCCCCTGTATACCTTGGCTCATGATTTCGAATGTCGATATAATTCCATCCAGATTTTCAGACGAAGTGGACGGAAAACACGCGTATTGTCGCAACCCCGGCTACCACGAATTTGGCCCTTGGTGCTACATCGGCCAGGACGACGAATGGGAGTACTGCGACGTTCCATACTGTCCCATCCTCGACACATGCGACATTCGATTCGAAGGGCATTGTTTCAGTGAGTAACGAACTCTTCTCGATATGCACCCGTGCTCATAATTTTCTTCCCGATGATCCTGTGGCATCCGACGCGTGCTTCCGCAGACTAAACTATTAGACATAATAGGTGTGATTCAAAAGTTTCTGCTCTGATGCAGCAGGAATGATCGGAGAAGGCTGAACATTTTCCAGTAATTTCAAGGGTCAGCAGTTGGTGTTCGGTACATTCATATTTTTAATAATAATTTGTATCTAAAATATTTTCTAGCAAAATTTATTCAATTTTGAAAGGACAATAATTGAATACGGGGCAGTTTTAACATGTTTATTATAAAAGTATTCATCCGATGCACATGTATTCATCCCAATAAAACAATTCATTTATAAAAAATATACATTTAAAACAAGGAGATCCTGTGAAGTGTTAACAAAGGTGAAACTAACCTAGTCAGTTCAGCGAGGTTGTTCACGCATCTTTTTTAGCGAAAAGTATTTTCTTTCACATATAATTAAAGGCTGTTCCATCAAAGGGACAATTGTTCATGCCCAGGTAGGACATGCAGAAAAAAAAATTTGCTTCATCAATGTTTCCCCATATTTTCTTCTTCCTCCTTTTAAGTGCTCTGTCTATTGGCAGGTCCTGGGCATCCATCGTTTCCATTATATGTTCTCAGTCATTCTCTTTATTTCCACAAACGACCCTTCCTCCGGCATGCCAATTCTTTTCCTTCCTTGAGGTCTTTTCCCTTCCATTCTTCCTTCTATCACTTCCTTCAGCAATCCATCTCTGCGTAGAATGTGTCCAATCCAGTACTTCTTTCTTCTCGCAATCATGTTCACTAATCCTCTTTTTCCCCAACTACCAGTATCTCTTCATATGTTTCCCGATGTACGCAGTTTATTCTCTCCATCCTTCTCCCCGTCCACACTTTAAAACCCTGGAACCTTCTGATGTCTTCCTTCCTCAAAGTCCATGCTACTGACCCATATAAAGCCACACTCCACACCACTGCCTGCACGATCTTTTTCTTCACTCTTGGCTCATCCTCTTTGTAAATAACTCCTTTCTTGCTAAAAGCATCCTTTGCTATTCCTATTCTTGCTCCGATCTCAACCTTTCACTTTCCATCATCTGTGATCAAAGCTCCTAAGTACTTAAACTTTTTCACTTGTTCCACTTTCCGGCTATCGATCACAATGTTAATTATTCCTCCTACTTTCCTAGACATATTCATCACTTTTGTCTTCTTCCCATTGATATTTACATCAAAATTCGCGCCACCACGTTTAACCCATCCATCAATATCATCATATCGTAAATATCATCATAACCCATAGTCATATCGCAGGGCAGAAAATGTTGGATCACCCCTTGTTTGTTGCTTTCCAGGCCCACTAGAATGCAAAACGAATATATCGGGGTTATCATACATCGGAACGGAAAATGTGACCCGCAACGGGCACAAATGCTTGCCGTGGATGACCTTATCGGTTTGGAGACAAGTTAGTTTCCAGGAGCAAGACAATTACGACCCAGAGGGTGCATTTGATTTTTGGTATGATTTACTGCGGAAAATCCAGGACGACTTGCACCCACAGCACAACTTCTGTCGGAACCCGGTCCACGACGAAAACGGTCCTTGGTGTTTCAAGAGCTATGGGCTCGGACGCGATTATTGCGATATCCCCCTCTGTTCTTAGTGCGTTCCACATGAGTAAGAATATCGTTTTTACTCTGCTGGGCTCAATATTCTCGCACCAGAACGACCTTTCCTTTGTTTCTTTTCCAAGCTGGTTTGCGATCTGCCGAATTATAAGCAGATCGATCGATCTGCTGATTATTCCTGTCACTCCGAAGCTCCTCCTTCATTAAAATATGATATTTCGATTCTTTACGAGCCGAGCCCTTAAATCGGGAAACTCCTTCATTGAATCACGTTTCCACATCTTTGCATGCGCATTGTATTCCTAATTTCCGTTTGAAGTTCGACGAACTTTTTATTTTAATCATTGTTCAATACGGAATGGGAGTGGAGTTGCATTTATTGGAATTAAGATACGGTATTTTTTTTTACCGCTTACAAACGCTTGCTCATAGATGAAATTTAATCCCTTTTTTCCAACGTAAAGCATGTAAAGAACGATACTCCAAGCGTTTTTGCTGACATTGAACGAGGGGTTTTCAATAAATACGGTAACTTTCCGACGACGCTTTTTCAATAAAAAACACAGTTTCTTGGAAAAACCACCGGATCATGTCACTACCACTCCGAAGGTAACGAGCGCGCCTTACTAGCGTCACATTATGACGCGTACGCATTTTACCCAGTTATGGTGGCAGCCCTCCTAGAAACGTGGTCAAACGTTTAATTGAGTATTGCTATTCGTTTTCGGCATGTAAGAGGCACCAAACCTACAGAAATGCATCATCAAAATACAGAAGTTCATGGAGAACATGCCATGTCTCAAAAACAAGTATGGGTGTGGTGCAAAGCCTTCGATTCTAGGCGAACGAGTGTCACTGATAAACAGCGACCGGGTCTACCACCACAGAACAGCACACCACAGAACTATTGATAGATTTAATTTCGAATTACTTGTCTATCTTTAATTTCTTGCGGCTTATGTTCGCTCCTATGACTATCCAGTCTAGTTATACATACACTGTTTTCGGATTGAATTGATACTCCCCTATTATGGAAAACGGAGAAAATGCAAGCTTTGCAGATGATCCTGTAGATGTCAAGCCTGCTTCTCTGCAGAGTTTTTGGATGGTACTATTAATATTTCACCTTCCATCTGCAAGATGTCCTGCCTGTACTTGATGGAAGCGCTCCTACAGTGTTTCCGGAATGACTTTAACCCCCATTAACATGGGCTCCATACTTTTCTGAGCACCCTAGTGGTGGCTTGGCAAAATAGTAATTCTATCACTTTCAACAGGTGTCGTTTCAAGTAACATAGGCCTAATCCAGTTGTCAACTTCACTGTAACTCCACACAGGCTCATGGAAGATGTCACAGGACCCTTGAAGAATGTGACTCACATTGAGCTGACCGTAGACATAATAGAGATGCAAGGTCTCAATGAAAGTTTTGGAAGAGATTTATTATTCCCAGAACAAACAGGCAGTGCAGGTAAAACGGACCCAGGTAGCACAACGCTGGCTACATCTGAGAGGTGTAGGCGATGGCCTGCCAGCTACGACACGAGTGGCATGGCACCCTTCATGGCACAGTTGTAGCCAGGGTCCCGCTGCTCGACTGCCCGCTGATGGCCCTTCATGTGCTGGCCCCTGGGTAGTACATCGCTGCTGGACTGCTCGCTACGTTTAGGAAGGATTGTTGACGGTCCATCGAAGACGAAACTGGCGGCATGATACCATATGGCACACTTGCCGTTGTGGCCCGTCGATCAACCGATGATGCTTTCTGCTGGGAGCCCCTTATTTTCAAATACACAGTGCATATTCCAGTGACCATGAGACCATCCTCGTAAAGGTGATTTACGTACCTATCTGTTCAAATAGAAACTGTAATAAGGATTTTTTTTGATAGTGAAATTTAGTTTCATTTATTCAAGATACTCGAAATTTGGTTGATGTGGATAAAATTTTGGAAAATAACGGCTATCACCACTTTACCTTTCAGCCCTTCTGTTATGATCACAAAATAGCAAGGCATTTTCATAATGTCTTTGAGATAATATTATGCTAAATAACTATTATTGTCATTATAGAACTTCGTTAAAGCATACCAGAGTCCCCTAAAGTTTTCGCTTTTCACTGACGTCGTTGAGGACTCTAAAAACTCGTTACTTTTTTTTAGAGTTTTTACTATGTCCGTAGAGTTTCCTCGAATATAAATGCCACTGGTCCAGAATACAACTACTATCTGAGCTTTCCACAATTAACTTAGTGCCCTGCTTTACCACTGAATTCTTGGGATGTAGGGCAGAAATGCATTTCAATCATTGGTGGGCACCTCTTTGTAGACAATTTAATGAAGGCAACAAGGAAGAGATTGCTCAATTGAATAATAACTGCTTGAAAAAAAAGAATGGAAAAAGTCCCCATAGTGTGCTCCACCAGGTATCCAAAAAATTGCTCCTATTGAGCGAAAGCTCTGTGGAGAGATTTAATGTAACTAACTCAAGAAAACAAAACATATATATCAACTTGTTTAGAAAACAAAACAAGATCATATCAACGTCTTTAGAGAACAAAACATAAGATCATATTGGCTTCTTTAGAAAACTAAACATACCATATCAACTTCATTCTCTTTACGTGGCCCCTGTCTCCATCTTCCTCCACCTGCGAAGGTCCCTTCACTCCCTCCATGTCTTATGCTTCAGGAATTTTTGGATGTTCTGTTCCACATCTGCTTCTTTTCCAGCAGAAGAAACAGCAACACCTCCTTGAATAAGAGAACATCAGAGATAGTGGCCATGTACAGGGTGGGGCATAAAGATCTCCCACATTTCGAGGGGGCACTGTGCGGGCTGTAGTGGGGGTAGAGAGGTGGGCTAAGTCTTATTCGGTAGGTTAGGCTCTACCGTTTTCAGTACCCATCATGAG